GCCAAATCGTTGGAGGTCTCGGAGCCTCTGTTTCCCCATCTGACTCACAGTGGTGCCTTGTGTTGGGGCACAGCAGCTGCTGTCTGAGGATAATTGAGGGGCATGTGACAGACTGTGGCAGTCCCCAGACCACAGCCAAGGCCCTAGTTTTGGAAGTTTCTTTCAGAGCAGACTCCCTCTCTGCCAGGGACACAGTATCCCCTCCAGCCTTGGGTAGAAATGTCTGGCAGGGTGGAAGGACTTAGGTGGCAGCTGTGGGTAGGGGTGGGGGATTCCCCTAATGATCTAGGAACATGGGTGTGGCCACCCGGGCTTCTCCAGGAGAAATACTACCTAGGCAGACATCCATGTGGGCAGCCCCAGGGGTACAGGGAGGGCCAGAGGGACTCCTGCACTTTTCTGCCTGACAAAGCCTCTCAAGCCATCCTCCAGGCTGTGCTGGGAGGTGGCTGCTTTCCGACTGGCCTCTCATGTGCCTCCGAGCTGCTCCCAGCCACTGGGAGTTGAGCTGTCGTCTCGTCACTCTGAGCCCTGGCCTGGTCTCCGGTGTTTTGCACGGTGTCTGCTGAGGTGCTGTGTCTCTGGCACCTGGGTGCTCACGCTGTTGTGGGTGTGCAAAGAGCCATCCCAGGAGGGAAGACTTGGCAGGAAACTGCAGCCTTCACTCTTGAGACACTGCAGGGGATGCATGAGGTTACAATTCTCATGGTGGCACTATTTTGTCACCTGCCGTTTCCTTCCCGTCAGAAGCTATTTCAGATTTTCCAGGGACTAGTACAGAGAACTTTGTGGTCTTGGGTTTCCTGTATTTCTTGGATTTAGGATCAGGATGGAGAATATTCATAGATAAAACCAGCATAGATAAAAGGTTCCTGCAATACCCACTGCTTTAAAAGGGGCTCTGAAACCAGAACATGGGGCACTTCAGTACCAGGGACCTGCCCAGCTGCTCAGATACGTGACTGAGAGTCTCTAGCTGATTTGGACAGCATGAATCTTGAGCCTGAGGCCTGCAGTCTGAGTCCATTCACATGAGACAGACATGGCTGGACCAATGAACTTTTGGTTAAACAAAAACATTTCTCAATCCCTGAGACTTTGCTTGGCGTAGGAGTGTGTACTGGCAGTGATGAGCCTGACAAGGGTCTGTGGGTGCCAACAGGGGAGTGGGAAGGTTTTGTAGGTAGAAGTTCTACAAATGGGGATCTGAGAGAGAGCACTGAGCTGGGCTTCAGGATCTTCATGAACTGTGCAACACTGTGCAGGTGGCCTTCCCTCTCTGAGCCTCAGTCTTTTTATTATTTGTTTATTTAGTGCATCAGATTGAACCCAGCACTGAGCTACACTGAGCCCAGTTCTTTTATTTTATTTTGAGACTAAGTTACCAGGGCTGAGCTGGAACTTGCAGTCCTCTTGCTTCAGCCTCCTGAGTAGCTGGGATTACAGGCTCTGTCTTTTCAGTTAGGAGATGCTGATTGCTGGTAATCGTGTATCAGGGCTGCCAAGGAGGTCAGGTCAAAAAGTGCCCTTGGGGCTTTACAGAATGGCGGGTGTGGAAGAAGGGCATGGCCCATCTGTGAATATCCAGCCTGTCTCATTTCCCTTCTTCTGGGAAGCTATGATGCAGATCACTCAGGCAGGGGGAAACTGGGGCTGCTTTACCCAAGTCCAGGAAAGTGGTTCTGGGCTGGCTGCAGCGCTGGGGAATCATTCAGAGGTGACTGAGCATGAAGGCCCCTGCTGGCCTCCTGCTGGGGGTTGGCGTTTGTGGGCAGAAGATGTGGAGTGAGTAAGGGGCTTGGAAGTGAGCAGTCCTGTGACCGGCATCTAGAGACCAAAATAGGCCAGTGAGAGACAGGAGGAGGCAGGTGCTGGGAACAGCGTACAGGTCCCGTGCTTGAGTACCTCCTGCCCTGCTGGGCTTAGCTGGCCTCTGAGCAGGGAAGGCAGGAGGTGCCTGTCTGTGTTTGCTGGGAGGAAACAGAGGCACAGTGGGGTTAGAGGCTAGAGGGCCAAGTTCATGTCAGATCCCCATCTTGGGTTGGGGAATGTTTGAGTTTAAAAGGTTTTCTTTTTTTTTTTTTTTTTTGTATTTTTCTTTTTTATCGGTACTGGGGATCGAACTCACGACTGTCTGCTTGCAAGGCAGGCCCTTATGCTGCTGAGCTAAATCCCCAGCCCCGTTTAAAAGGTTTTCTGAGCTCAAAGTCCATTGATCACCCCTAGAGCTGGCTGGGGGGGGGGCTACCCCCACACCCCAGAGCCCTGGCCCAGGCTAGGGAGAGGATGGCTAGGCTTCCTAGGGCGCTGTTTGCAACCCTGCACTCAAAACCCAGCAGCACCTCTACCCAATCAGGAGTGAGACCAGTGTTCCTAAAGCAGCCGGAGCTCGCTGACTGTGTCCTGGCTTCTCTCTCCCCTCAGGCATCCCAGCTGCGCTGGCCTCCAGATATCCCTGTGCCCCTGGTACCCACTAGGCTGTGTTTGGGGGGCGGGGCTTTGCAGGCACTTCCTCTGCTGGGAAATTTGCTTTTTGCAACCTCCTGAGCTTCTAGGTAACCCTAGCACTCTCTTGCTGTGGCTACTCTGCCTCTTCTCTTTCCACTAGCATCTGTCACTTTCCAACTGATTTGCACATTGCTTTTTTAGTACTAGGGATTGAACCCAGGGCCTTCACGTGAGCTACATCCCCAGCTCTTTTTTGTTTTTATTTTGAGACAGGGCCTCACTGAGTTTCCTTGGCTGGGCTCACACCTTAAAATCCTCTTGCCTCAGCCTTCTAAGTGCTCATATGATAGGTGTGTGCTACCCTGCAGGCTTGGTACGTTATTTAGCCACAATGCTTTCTCTATCACCTCTCCACTCATAGACTCTAAGCTTTGTTAGGCCAAGAATCTTTTGTTTTGCTCGAATGCATTGGCCAAGGCCAGTTCAGAGACAGGTGTGCAGTAGGCACATGGTGACGGTGACAGTTAATCTTCTGGATGCACTTCTTGGGCTGGAGCTATGATATGCAAAGAGCCACACCAACTGGGAAGACTCAGCAAAGTGCAGTTCCCATTCTTGAGACCCTGTAGGAGATGGATGAGGTGCCCACGAAGCTCTGCCTCTGGGTGTGAGGGAGAGGGGTGATGTTTCTGCTGATGTTAGCATTAGGATGTGAGGGGGACTCAGTAAAGCAGGCTCCCTCTTGGGGACAGACACCACCCAATCACCTGGTGGCCTGGATAGAGCAAAAGGCACAGGATGGATGATTCACCCCACTCCACACTGAATTTCACCACCAGCTTTCTGGGTCTCCAGCTCACAGATACAGGTCAGGGACTTCTCTACACCCACCATCATGGAACCACTTCCTCACAGTCAATCATATATGTACATAAACACACATGTGCACACCTATTTCCTTCCTGTTGGTCATTTCTCTGGCGAGCCCTAATGCAGTAACTACAAGTTGAATCAATGAATGAGTGAGTTGAGCAGACAAGCCTGAGCGTCCTCCTGCGCTGGAACCCTCCCCAGCCACCTTTGGAAATTCAGCTCATGTCTCTGTCAGGAGGTAACTCCATGGAAATTCGGTTCCTCACCACATTTCCTCTAGCATCTCCTACTCTTTGGGAAGCCCAGTCCCCATCCTATGTGTTGTGTGCCTTGGTCTACTCCCCTGGCTTTCATCCTCCTGAAAAGTGTACCCTGGGCCTGGGTGTTATCACGGGGAAGCTCTGCTTGGAACCTAGCAGGTTTGGTGATCTTGGTTTATTTGCTGCTGGACTGTACGTGGGTGGTTGTGACATTTGGGAAGTGATTTGGTGTTACAAAACAAGTTGCTCTAAATAGCTGCGTGTGGTCTTTTTCCTTCTGGGATCCTTTCAGAAAGAGTCTGGTGTACAAAGATGTGTGTCAGGACATTTTGGGGTAGCCACTGACAATGGCTTTTGTTTGTTTTGTTTTTTGTCTTTTGGGACAGGGTCTTGCTATGTAGACCAGGCTGGCCTTGAACTCATGGCAATTCTCCTGTCTCAACCTCCCAAGTGCTGGGATTATAGGTGTGCACCTCCATGTCCAGTGACAATGGTGTTTTTATAGATTGTCTTTGAGAAAATACCCATAACATACTAAGCAAAAATATAAGATCTGTTAAAATATTTTGTAAATATTGCAAATTTTATTGGTTATATATATAGATAATATATATGTATATAGATAAGTAATAGGTATATAAGTATACTATCTATATATATACATAAATATAGTACCAATAAAATTTGCAGTTTCTTCAAATTGTTACAGTTTCTGATGAGCACTGTGCCACCCCAGCCCTTGCTCCCAGTTCAGACTGAGGACTCTGGTTTGCAGCACGATGGTCACAGTCACCTGCCTGCTCCATCTCTTTGTCCTGCCTCGCCATCCCAGGAGTCTCAGCCCTCTCCTTGCTTCTCTTCGACACCCAAGTTCTATTTCTTGTAGTTGACAGGCGGCTCAGCCCTGCCTGCTTCATTTGTGTCTCTGGATCCTCACACACATGTGACCTGGAATTTCTGAGACTGGGGCTTTGCTCCCTGACCTGTGCCTCCTGGTGGTTCCTAGGGGAAGCTGAGGTGGAGGACCCTGTGATGGGGTCCATTTTGTAGTCATAAAGTAGAGAACAGTCTCTGGTTTCCTATCTGGGGAGGGCCACCTCTAGCTCTGCAGGGCCCCCATGAGAATGGTGGGGACATCTTCTCAAGTCCCTTCCTTCTGAGGGCTCAGGGGAGGATTGATGGCCTTGCTGGGGACCTGTAGAAACAGCTGCCTGTCTGGGGGAGGCCAGGCTCCCTGCTCAATTCTGGATTAAGGACCCAGCTTTTGAGGGAAGCAGAAGTAGTTTCTCTGCCTGGGCTAGGGGCAGTGCCAGGTTGTGGAGCATAGATGCCAGGCCCCAGAAAGTCTTCTTTTTACCCTGTGGTGACCACAGGCCTGTATGCCCAGCAGTGACAGTGGCACCTCTGTCTACCCCACAGGTGCCAGCAGTCCTAGAGGTGCCCATGCCTTCCCTCAACGTGCTGAGGAGGAACAGAGCCAGACAGCGCTGCGTCCCACATGCTCACTGGTGGCCCCCAGCAGTTCTGCCTGTCAGCCCAAGGGACAGATCCGTAGGCGGCTCATGGGCAGTGACAGGGGCTCCCAGAAGTGGCCAGGGCCCACCTGCCTGCTATGCTGCCCTGTAGGCCAGCCCAGGAGTTCAGCTTCGGGCCTCGCACGCTGCGGGATGCCCTGGTGTCCAGCGACACAGGACTGCAGCGGTGCTACGCTGCCACCTTCTCCCTGGCTGAGCGGCTGTTCCTGGCTGAGGCCTACAACCCACACAGGACCCTCTTTCATCCGCTGCTCATCTACTCGGCTTTCGACTGGTTCCTGAGCCGCCCTGAAGCCCCCGAGGACTTTGACACCTTCCACGCCTCCCTGCCACACCGCCCACAGAGTCCGGCACGCAAGCACATTTATCTGCAGCCCATAGGTACAGAGGGCCAGGACCAGTCTGGCACTGCTTAGGAGGGGAGCTGGAGTGGGGTGGGTGGCTCAGGATTTGTGGTGGGCAGGGAGGCCTGGTGCCCTTGGTTTCCCTCCCCCACCTCTGACATGGTTGGGAAGCCTGGGCTCCAAGGCTGTTTGACCTATGGGGTGCTGCATGGTCCAAGCCACGTCTTTTGAAGTTAGCAGCACTCCACGCTCTGTGCTATACAGGGGTACTTCCTCTTGGGTGGGGAAACTGAGGCTAGATGAGTTCACTTAGCAGAGGCAGGATTTGAACCTGGTATGATAGTGGGAGATGCTGGGTTGACAGTGATGGTGATCCCAATGTGGCTGCTATAGTCTAGGGTTCTTTGTCTGGCAGAGACTGGGGATACTGGCGACCAAGGGCTGAACCAATGGCTCAGCCAGGTGCTGGGGGGTGGGGCACAATGAGGGGAAGGCTGACCTCTGGGACCTTAGCACCCAGGCGGCCCCAGTTTGGCAGGAGGCCCAGCAGGCAATGTGGCACTGGGTCTGGGAGAGCCCCAGGCAGGCTGTTGCCACCTCCCTTCCAAGAGGGACCAGAGTGCTATGGGTACTGTGAGTCTTGTTCTCTGTCACCCCACAGTCTACAGGCTCTACATAGACCGATCTGGGGCCAATCCCTTCTCACCAGGTTCCCTGCAGACAGCTGGGTGACAGGTAGCGCCTCCCTGAAGTGTGGGGTTTGGCTTAGGGGGTGGAGGGCCTGGGCCTTACACTTCTGACAGGTAGAGGTGAAGACATTGGTCTGCATCCCTGGTCCGGGTCTATATCCTCCTCCCCAACCCTCTGCCAGCCAGGCTGGCCTTTTGTAGCCTGAATGGGGCATACTAGCTGCTGCCACCCTCTTCTCTGAGCAGTGCTGGCCTCTGCCTCTAGATGTGAATGAGGCGCCTCTGGGCTGCCCCCTGCTGGACTACCTGCGGAGCTGCGCCGAGGCCTTCTTCCTGGGCCTGCGGGTCAAGTGCCTGCCCTCTGTGACTGCTGAGTCCATCCGCTGCTCCGCACGCCCCCGCCGGGACTCAGACGGGCTGCAGCTGCACACAGGTACGGTCAGGGCAGGTGCAGTGGGTTGGGGAAGGAGGAGGTCGGGGGAACAAAAGCTCCTTTCCGTCACTGAAGGGTCAGGAGACTGCATGACTCAGAGCCAGCTGGAACGGTGGTCATGGCAGGTGAAGCGGCAGCTGGAGGGCAGCTCTCCACCTCTTGTTTGCAAAAGCCCTGAGTGTCTGTCCAGGGAACTGCAGACCCTGCCCCACCTGCCCCTGCAGGTCACTGGCTGCTGAGATGGGGCCAGCTGAGAGGCAATGTTGCACAGGTCTCTAGGTGGACAGGAGTACAGGGAGGTCCCTAAGAAGAGGCTGGTGTGGGACCTAGAATTGGTGGTTGGTATTGCAAACAGTTTTGGGAAACTCTCAGTCCATCAAATGCTGCCCGTTCTCCACCTGAGGCTCATTCAGAAGCCTGGTAGCGTTTTCCCACTTATCTGCTATGAGTTTTAGGGTTTCAGTCTGTGGTTCTCCACCTCTGTGAAAACCTAACCCCCCATTCCTCTTGGCCATGGGTCTCAGTTCTACAGCTCCTGGGGATCCTTTCTCGGCTCAGCAGGGTCACTGCTCTGTGGCTGGGCCCAGCGGCCTGGTCCAGGTCTTGGCTGTGGACAATGTTTGTTCTTCCTGATGTGCTACCTTTCATTATTTACTGATGTCTTATTTGAAAACTCAGTTTACCTGTTAAGATAATTTGTGGCCTGGGATGATCTTTCTCTACAGATAGGGTTTTCTTTTCCCTCTCTCAGGCCTTGGCTGGGACAAAAATGTGACATTTTCCTGGATGGCACTTCTGTGACCCTCAAGGGCATAGTCTGTATCCATCCCAGGGTGTGGGGATGTCACTAGGGTCACCCTGCCTACACTCTGGAAATAGCCCAGCTCCATTATATTGATTGCTTGATTGACTGACTGATTGAGACAGGGTCTCACCATATCATTAAGGCCAGCTTGAACTCATTACATAGCCTAGGCTGGCCTTGAACTCACATCGATCCTCTTGCCTCAGGCTCCTGCGTGCTGGGATTATAGTCTTGCACTACCACACCTGGCCATCTCAGTCACATTTAGTCCAGGATGTCCTGTTTGCTCTCCTGTCAGGTTCTTGCTTGGTGTAAGGTTTATAGAGGTGTAATTGTTTGTTTGTTTTTGTCTTTTTCCTTTTTTATCGGTACCAGGGATCGAACTCACGACTGCCTGCTTACAAGACAGGCACTTATGCTGCTGAGCTAAATCCCCAGCCCCTAATAGCGGTGTAATTGTTAGTGGGCAGTTCTGAGTCTTGTGTGCGTTGGTCACAGCCCCTTCCTCACTGTCCTGTGGTCAGCTCTCCTCTTTGATGTCGAGGGCAGTGGCAGCAACCACTGTGGTCCCCAGCCTGCCTGACAGGGAGCAGCTTGTGTTGCTTTAGGGGTTGATAGGACTCCCAGGCTGGGGTGGGTGCCTGTCCCCAGTGGCCTGTTCCTCCCTGTCCCAGTCTTCACATGTGGTCACCCAAAACAAGCCTGCTTACCAGGTGCAGCCCATAACTTACAGGACCTAGAAGGGACCCAGGGACAGCATAGCCTGTCCTGGCTCTAGCTGCAAACAGAGCCTGACTTCCTGGGCCTCTTCTCTACCCCACATGAGAGGCCATAGTGTCTGTGCTTATATCACCGAACTGCTGGTCCTGAGACACAGGGTGAGGCCCTGTCCTGCCTGTTGGGTGACTGTGGTACTCAGAGACCCCTGGCACTATCACCCCCACACTTCAGACGCTGCTTGGACACTGGGGGCTCTGCAGTGGTGCTGAGCTGGGCTGTGCTCAGGTGGGCTTGGCTTACAGCTCTGCATCTGCCTCTGATAAAGTGCCATAGACTGCGGGGCTCCTGCAATGGAAATCTTGTCTCATGGTCCCGGAGGCTGACAGCAAGGTGTTACAAGGTGTTCCCATGTTCCCCGAAAGCTTTTCCTCATTCCTTGGCAACTGTGGATTGCAGGTACAGGACTCCAGTTTCTGTCCATGTCTTCCCTGGCCTTTTCCTGTGTCTCTTTCCTCCAGTACTTATGCTGGATTTCAGTCCCATACTAGTGACCTCTTGGTGACATCTGCAAGAACCTATTTCCAAATAAGATCACATTCGTAGGGAGCAAGGGTTAGGACTTCTTTCTATATTTGAGTCTGTAAACAGTCATTATCATCATCATTGTCATGTTCATAGCCAAAATTCCTCGACCCCTACTTGAGATCTCAGCCACTCATGTCCCAAGATCACACCCTGGACCTGTGCTGTCCAGAGAAGTGGCCACTGGATGTATAAAATGGGGCCAGTCTTAAACTTGCAATAAATGTTAAACATATACCAGATTTGAAAACTTACAAGGAAAAGCAAAACCTACAACCCTAAAATTCTGATTCTGTGTTAGATAATATTTTAGATATCTTAGGTTAAATTAGGGAGCTTCAGAGTAACTTATATAGCTTGTGCTGGATCCATTGGCCAACAAGGCACTTAGATGGCACAAACAGCCCAGATCATAAACATGGCCTCTGTCATCACCTGAGGCTTCCACTGCTTCGTCCCTGTTGTCCTGACTATAAACCCCGCTGAGCACCAGGCAACCGGTGGATCTGTTTGCTCTGCCGCTTAGCTCTCAGTCTGTCCCAGGTTGGGCTTCAGGGCTCAGCAGTGTCACCCTGTGTCCTTCCACCTGCACCCGCACATGACCCCAGAGCCCTGCCTGCCTCCCCTCCTCTTCCTTCCTGGTTCTTTTTGCCAGGGGAACACCGTCCAAGGAGATGATCCTGCTCCTTCCTCCCACCCAGCTCTAACTTGGCCTTCCCTGTGCTCCTTCCTGGAGCTCACTGACCCGTGTAGCCCCTGTGGTGAGGTCCCTGCAGCCACCACTCCGCTGCTTCTTAGGCACTGCTCCCTGGGAGATGCTTTTCCTTTCTTGGCTTTCTCTGATTCTGGTCCTTCCCTGTCCCCACCTCCTTCTGGTTATGAGGGCCATCCAGATACAGCAGAATGATCCCCAGTTCAGCATCTCTGTCCACACCTGCAGTCCCTTTTGCCATGTGTGATAACATGAGCACAGGGACATGGGCTTCTTTGGGCCATCTGTCAGTAGCTGTGGCAGTCTCCCTTCCTGTGGTGGTGGTGGCACTTTCCTGACGCTGTCTCATTGTCCTGGCTGCCTTTCCAGCAACTGCTCTGGGCTGTGAACGGGCATCTCAGTCCTCTGGTCTAGCTTGGCAGTGGCTGTGGAGGAAACAGAGCTGAGATGTCAATGTTTAGGGGATCCACGTTTCCCTGACCCTCAATGTGCTGCTTTGAGGTCCCAGATGCCCAAGAGGGCTAGATCAGGGAGGCCTTAGGGAGGGTTGGTCCCAGGCAGAGGGAGGGGAGAATGCCAGGTTTGCCTTCCCAGAGCCCAGGCTGGAGCTGGGCCCCAGCTGCCTCCTGCCTCCCAGCTCCCGCCTTCCCTGCAGATGGCATCCTGTCCTTCCTGAAAAACAACAAGCCGGATGATGCACTGTGTGTGCTGGGCCTCACATTGTCCGACCTGTACCCCTGTGACGCCTGGAGCTTCACCTTCAGCACCTTCCTTCCAGGGCATGGTGAGCGGGGAGGCCGAGGTGCTAGGGAGAGGGACACACACCGAGAAACAGCCTCGAGGCCCATGGTCTTTCTCCTGGGCAAGGAGACTTGGCTCTTCCTTGGCCATGGTTGGAGAGCATGTGGTGGGGATGGGGACCGTGGGGCCCCCCGAGGCTGAGCCCCTCTCCTCCTTTCCCCAGAGGTGGGCATCTGCAGCTTTGCCCGGTTTGCAGGGGAGTTGCCACAGGTGGGGCCCAGCGCTCCTGACCTGGCCGCACTGGAGGCAGCAGCAGATGGCTCCGAGGCCCTGCTACAGGATGGAGGCCAGAGGCTGTGCTTCAGCACCCTGGGGGCGGTACAGTGCTGCAAGGTGGGCATGGGCATGGGCATGGGGTATGTGAGTGGATCCCACAAGCCCTCCGCCTGGTCAATCCTCGCTACGACAGGGACAATGATAAAATGAGGAAACCGAGGCTCAGAGAGGCCAAGGCCACAAGGCCATGAGGCCACAGGTTGGGCTCTGACCCCATGTTTGTCTGGCTTCCAGGCCCCTTTTGCCACCTGGGAGGGACACTCCGATCACTTCCCATGGTGTGGGTATTGAGATCCTGGAGAGCTTGCCCCGCTGTCTCCAGGGTCACGGGTGGGAGGACCAGGCAAGGTGGTATCCCGTCCCCCCAGGTCACATGCCACGAGCTCTGCCACCTGCTGGGCCTGGGGAACTGCCGCTGGCTGCGCTGTCTCATGCAGGGGGCACTCAGCCTGGAAGAGGTCCTGCGGTGGCCCCTGGACCTCTGCCCCATCTGCCTACGGAAGCTACAGTATGTAGTGGGCTTCCAGCTCCTGGACAGGTACAAGGTGAGCATGGTGTGCGCTGCTGCCTGGGGAGTCACTCAGGTCAGCGGGAGAGGGTCAGGCTTGTGTGGTGTCATGCTGCTCTGGACCTCACGGGTCTCCCTGGCAGCCGGCCGAGTCCTGGGCAGGGGTCTGGCACATGGGGCATGTCCAGGACCATGGTTGTGTTGGGGTAGGGATGAGGGGCTGCTTCCTATCTCAGTCAGCTGGAGGCTGCCACTTACTGGGTGTCTGCTCTGCCACCTGCCTTCACTTTCCTTGGCTTGCTGCCACCCAGAGGAAGCAGAGGTCCTGTGGAGGAAGGCACCTCTACCCCAAGTCCAGAGGGAAGGACTCTTGGCGAGGGCGTGCTGCCCTCTGCAGGCAGTCTGGCCACACAGCCCACGGTGCCTTCCTGATGCTTCCATTCCTAGAAACTTTGCTGAGCTCAGAGTACAAAGGCGAGCTGCTTACTTTTTTTCAAAAATCCGCCTTTGGTTGGGAGCCCAAGTCTTCAGTAAAGGCTGAGACCTGCCTCTTGGGAAACCAAACGTTTCCGGGGCTTGAGTGGTGTTGATGACTCAGCTCTCGTGGTTCTGGGAAGCTCCCTCCTCTTCAATGGGTCACAGGGCTGCCTGCCTCCGGCAGGGAATATCTCAGAGCAGAGGCTCAGGGGAGCCTGTGGCTCAGTGACTCAGCAATGTCCTCAGAGGGCAGCTGATGTAACTCTTGCCACCTGGGGCCACTGCATATGAAGCTGTATAATGGGTGAGGGCAGCTCTGGTCTGCCGGGAGATTAAGACTTATTTTATGGCCATCATTTGGGGTCCTGTTTGAGCATCTGATGTAACTTTTTTACTTTTCATGCCTGCCTCCATCCTGATGCATAGCTCTGGTCAGCTCAGGACCCAAGGGGGTGGGCGTGATATCCTCTTCACACCCACACACTCTGGGGCACTCAGCAGCCACGTCTCTGGGGACAGGTTGGGGGATGGTTAGGAGTGATATTCAGGAGAGTCTGACCCCACCCCAGAGCAGCACAAGGACTGAGGCCAACAGGGTCCTGGCTAGAAAAAGCTCTGCTTTGTACCACCTGCCAGTGTCCAGGCTCACTGCTGGGCAGACCTGGGACTGCCCACCTACAGATGGAGATTTAGTGGGCTTGACTGTCTGTCTTAGGTATAGCAGGTGTCCAGCCCCAGAGGTGCCGGCCTGATACTGGCCCCGGGTATTTGAGGATACCTGGGGCCCTGACAAATGCCCAAGCAAAGGACTCAGGTATGTTTCTCCCTTTCAGAGACTCTACACTTGGACCCAGGCAGTAGCGGGGACATGGCCCAGCCCCGAGGCTGGGGAGCCGTCTGTGTCTGAGACCACCTTGCCTGTCAGCGCTGACTCAGGCATGTGCTGTGAGAGCGACTCAGAGCCGGGCACCAGCCTGTCCGAGCCTGGCACACCTGATGTGTGGAGTCACACCTTCTCAGAGGGGCCGGAGGATGAGCTGAGCTCCCTGGCGGCCACAGAGGTGCTGCCAAGGCTTGGGGGCCCCATGGAGGCCATTGAGGAGCATGGGCGGTGGCTGGCCACATGCATTGAGGCTCTGGAGCGGGAGGTGGCTGAGGAGGAGCTGGCACAGGTGGACAGGGCTGTGGATGTCCTGGAGCCGTGGGAAATGTTCACAGGGCAGCTCCCAGCTACCAGGCAGGACCGACCCTGTGGCAGGGACAGTGCAGGGCTGCGCAAGGTCCTGGGGGACAAGTTCTCCTCCCTGAAACGGCGCCTGAGTGTGCGCAGGCTCTCCAAGGCGGAGTCCTCCCCCAGCCGCTGGGATGGGGAGGAGAAGTAGTACAGTGAGGTGGCCTGCGGGGCCGAAAGCTCCCTTCCAGAGCTGAACGGGTCCTTCCTGCAGGTCCTTTAGGTCCTTGTGTCCACTCTGGCCATGGGCACCTGTGGCACAGCACCCTTGGCCTTCCTCTGCTGGCGGGAGGCCCTGCTGGTCCCTCCAGTCAGGGCCTCAGGGGCATCTAGGGGCTTGGCAGCTGCCCACGCACTCCCTGGGGGAAGCGTGGCTTGTTTCTGCAGTGCCCTGCTGCCCGCATAGTCGCGTACTGTGGCAGAAGCAGGGCTCCCTCCTTGGAACTTCAAGGCGTCACTTGAAGCCGGTACCCACTGGGCCTGCAGTTTCTCTGACAGCTGCTGCATGAGGAAGGCATCAGATTTCAGGGCTGAGGATAGGAAGGCTGAGGATAGGAAGGAAGAGGCCCTCGGCCTTGGAGGTCACTGCACGCCGTCACTGGCAGTGGCAGAAACAGGCTGCTGTGAGGTTTTGGGGGAGTTTTCTGACAAAGGCGGCTGCACTGTTGATTCCAGTCAGGCCAAGGCCGGGATGGGTGTCCAATGCATCCATCTTTATAGACGTTTTGCTCTGTGATCTGGTTCTATCAGTTCCGGCCACAGGGGTGTTAAAATCCATCACAGCTATAGCTATAGAGCTGTCTGCCTCCCTTCACTTTCGTGTCATGTGTTTTGAAGCTCTTTTGCATGCACACACTCATTTGTGTTCCTGAAGTGACCAGTCATCATCGGTGTCCTGGCCTGCAGTATCAGAGTCACAGGGAGAGACGTTCTTGTGGCAGAATCCTTGGCTTTGCCACCTGAAAAGAGCTGAGGACAGCAGCTTGTGCATCTGCTGGGTGGGGAGCACAGACAGCTTTGAGGCTTCTAAGAGGAACAGGCCACAGCGAAAATATAAGAGGCCAGGCAGGGGCACGGATGCCTCCCTGTGAACCTGACAGGGGCCTGATGGTGTAATGCTGGCCCCTGCGTCCAGCGTGGGTAGAGGGAGAGGAAACAGCTCACAGCACAGCAGCAGTACAAGGACCTCATCAGCCCCTTGCTCTGATTTGACTCCAGAGAGACTGCCCAACTGGAACAGGGTGAAGGGAGCTGGTGGCAGGCCAGGTCTTTGAAAAGTGAGCCCTGAGGGGCTGGGGATTTAGCTCAGCGGCATAAGCACTTGCCTTGCAAGCAGGCGGTCGTGAGTTTGTTCCCCAGTACCGATAAAAATGAAAAAGACAAAAAAATAAAATAGAATAAAGTAAAAAAAAAAAAATGAGCCCTGGGAGATGCCAGTAGCAGGCAACATGGCACCAGGAGTGGAAGGCCAGGCCCGGATGCCATTGCCCAGGAATGCAGTTTGGGCAGAGCTGGGTGGGGAGGCAGCCACAAGCATGGTTGGAACCTCAGGCTTCAGTTCAGGGTCCTAGATCTCCTTATCACACGGCATAGCCCTCCTGACTCAGCTTACAGTTTCAGAATGTCACTTCTGCTCCCCCTCTGGGCAGTCTGTCTGGGACAGGTAAAGAGCAAATGGGGAAGAGCGCCATGGGAGGAGGGCAGAGGAGGTGACAGTGAGTGCTACTGTGTTAGTAAAGGCACAGCTCGCAAGTCTCCCTGAGGTCCTCCACGCTGAGGCAGGACACAGCTGTACACCGAGACGTTTACAGATGATGACTCCACATCACAGGGCCATGTGGGCTTTCCATGTCATTTCTTTTTTTGGGGTACTGGGGATTAGCCCAGGGCCTTCACACTGAGCTACATCCCCAGCCCTTTTAAAAACTTTTTATTTTGAGTCAAGTTCTGAGTTGCTCAGCTTGGGCTTGAACTTGCAATCCTCTCGTTTTAGCCTCCAAGTATAAAACTTTCTTTAAAAACTTGGCAAAGTTAGGCTGGGGACAGAACACCCAGTAGTAGAATGCTTGCCTAACATGCATGCAGCTCTGGGCCCCATCCCAGAACTGCCAAGGCCGGAGAAATGGCAGCACACATAATCAGCTTAATTGCTTCCTCATTTCCGTATCTGTTGAGACTCCCCCGGGCCAGGTCATCCAGCCTGGTGGTCCTCCTGAGACCCTCTGTGTCTCAGTCAGGCTGTGGCGGAGGTGAGCATGGGTCCTGTATCTGGCAGCCCCATGCCTGGAGCCCAGCCTCACTGTGGGAGAAGCACTCTGCTTGTATGGTGGAGACCTCAGGGGGCAGGAGGGTGAGCAGCTCTGCACCTATCTCCAGAGCAACAATGGGGTGGGTGGTATGTGAATCCTGTCTGTAGACATCAAGGCAAAACTCTCAGTGACACATACACACGCACACACACGCAGACATGCCTAGCCAAGCTGCTAATGGGAAGCTGAGGGTCCAGATTTAGATCCTACCAAACTCCCAGGAGCTGCTGGAATGTGCCACGGACAGAAGGTCTGTGCACTGTGCCCAGACGAAGTGCCCTCCAGACCTAACAGGTAGGCAGGCACAAGCAGACCTCTGAGACCAGCTGCTGGCCCCATGCCTGCTCAGGAAGGATGGAACAGTGGAGCCCTCCTGAAGTGCTGGGGTACTTTACATCTATCACTGTGTTCTCAAAACAGCAGCACAAGGCAGAGGCTATTAGCCCACTTCATGTTTGCAGAAGCCCGTGTGGACAGGGGTGCTTACTTGCAGAGCCCCAACAGTGCAGAGCTGAGCACAGAGCTGAGCATAGGCTCTGTTTGCCTGAGTCCACCCTGGCTCCCAAGACCACCAGGAAGTGTGGTGGCTGCTACACCACCAAGCCCACGGAGGAATGAGGAATGTGGAGAGGGTAGCCAGCACTCGGGTGAGGATGCCAACCAAAACCAAGCCCAGAGCTGCTGGGGCTTCGTGGACTAGGTACCAAGACAGGAGTCCCCAACTGGAACGCTTCCTTCCCATAAAGATGGAGCAGCAGGGCTCCCGGAGGCAGCACCTGAACCTGGTGGACAGAGCCTTGTTCCACGGGGCTCCCTATGTGGTGACAGCGAGGTGGGGAGGATGCTTGGGGGACAGCAGCTCCTGGAGCTGGGCTCCCATTGGGCATTTTAGCTTGGTCCCTGTGGAAGCAACTATACACACAGGGATCTGGTCTCAAGGAAACAGCCTTTGGGACAACAGGCTGAAAAGGTCCACACTACCCGTAGCTGAGGAAATGCCCTGCCTCGCTGTGAAAACCTGGCTTTGACAGCAGAATAAATACAAACAGCAAGGAGAAGTGGTGGTGGCTCTTTTCCTCTCCCAGTATTCACAACACCCCCTCTACAGCAGAACCCACAGTAACTGAGGGTGGGGAATAAATAAAACTGAGCCTCAGTCAATTTCTGAGCAATGTCCAGGGGTCACTGGTGCTCAGGGGATGATGCTGCACCAAGGGGACTGGGAAGGAATTTCTCTTCGAAAGGCTTGCAGTAGTCAGGCCTATCCAACCTCAGACCTGCTCTGAGCTGACCTCAGACTCAACAGATTAACCAAACTGGAGACCAGCCGGCTCCTCTAAGAGAGGCCGCTGCATGCTGTCCCTAGGCATGCTGGACTGGACAGTTAATGCTGCCACAGAATACTGAGATTGCAGGTAACTTTGATATGCAGAATACTTTGTGTGACTCAGATTTTCCATGCATACATATTATATTGTCCACTCTCAAAATTAAATGCTATAAAACTGAAATAAGGCCTTGAGCCAGGTGCGGTGGTGCACACCTGTAATCCTAACACTTGGGAGGCTGAGGTAGAAAGATTGCCGAGAGTTCAAGGTCAGCCTGAACTACACAGGGAGACCCTGTCTCAAAGACAAGAAGCAAACAGAAAAAAGTCTCAGAAGAGGAGGATGCCAGTCCAAAATGGACTTTTAATGGAAACAGTACAACTCACCATCTGACCTTGACCAGGGACCCTTGCCTATGTGAGCTGTGAGGCTGAGGCTCTTGTCTGGCTGGTCACAAAAGCTGCTGTCATTGCTGAGGCAAATGAAGGGAATGAGGGGAGGCTAGGGCTGTGTGCCCAGCTACCACTTACCTCCTTCCTGCCTGGTGGCCTGGGCACCAGACCTGTGTCTTACACCCACATGGACCACAAAGAGACCCCCTGCTTCTGGAGAGGCACCTGTGATTCCACCCCAGGGTCCTGTGGATGCAATGCTAAACACGTGTTCAAGGAGTCACTGTTACCACACTCTCGCTTAGAGGTGGTGGCTGGTGGCTAGTCAGGAGGGCTCCAGTGGGAAACAACATGGCAGGAAGACACAAGTAATTTAAGGCAGATTTTAATAATTTGTAAAAATCATATATACAAAACATGTTGAACCAACCGCTGTGGCTGTAAGACACACTTTTTACACTTTGTCACATACACCTTAGCCTAGACACAGTATGTGTAAGTGGAGACTGGTTACAGTGTAGTTGGTCCTGCCCGGGCAGTTTTGGTGGTCACTCCCTGGGGACCCCCTGACACAGCATTATAGCCTCTTGGTGTTTGAGGTGTCTGTCAGGTTCAGGAAGTTTCAAGGCCAAAGCCATCCCCACAGTATCCCTTCTGCAGGGCCTCACCTCCCTTCATCATGCGGACTGGGCTCCCTGGGTGACAGGTTAGGCACAAGGTGGTGCAGGATGGGCTGGTGCTGAGCAGGGCCAGGCACACTAACACTGGGGACAGAGAAGGACAGGGTGATGGGCTTTAGTTGGTTCTAATGGAGTCAAGGGACACTGAGATGGTTTTAAGTCAATTTGCATTTGAGTTCAAAAGGTAATTCTGTGAGGTTCCTGGGACTGACAGATTCAGTGCTTCATTCTTCAGGACCCTTTGGGCCCCAGCTCACAAAAGCTGGTGACAGTCTCCGTCCACTGACTGGATGGTGAACCTAGAAAAGCACATCCTCCCATGACTGGGGAGACAGGGCAGGCTCAGGCCTGATTTTACTGGTCTTTCAGGTACAAGTCTGGTTCGGTCTTTGATATTCGAGTTTCCAAGCCTGCCTTTGGTGTGCACCAACCTTACTGAGGGCAGCGGAGAGACACTCCTCCATAGCAGCGGCCTCCTATGTAACTCTGAGGCTGTGGATAAAGAGGGGACCCCCACTTGTGGGAGATGGGTGCTGTAGGCCACCCACACATTGCCTATACTTCAGAGCACTCCCAGACTGCTGTGACCTTGCTGATCGGCCGAGGCTGCAGGGTGAAAAGCGGGTAGGTTCTGCTGTCTCTGTGAAGTGAGGAATAGGCCATGTTTGCAGCCCAACCCAGATGTGAGGTCTGCAGGCTCAAAATACAGGAACCTCAGGGGAGGGTTAAAGGCCACGTCAATTCTCGTTCAGCCCACAGAGAAAGGCCGTGTGGCCACCTATTTCCTTTGCTTTCTGGGCAGGAAAATTGTCTATTCTAAGCTTCCCATTTCCTATCCCTTGCTCTGTAAGTATGGTCACCAACTCCTGTGGACACCCATCCTGCAGGTTGTTTTGGAGCTCACATATTTCTGGTGGCCTCTTGCTGCTCCTTTTGGGTTCGGAGAGTGGTTCTTTTGCATAAGAATTTCACATGTGGAAAAAGTTTGCTTCTTAAGGGACCAGTTCAGTAAGGCGTGGGCAACATCTGAGGTGCACAAGTATGGCTATACTGAGGGCTCAGAGTGGAAGTGGCAGTGGCAGCCTGCAGGTGGGCAGAGCTATCTGTTCTGGGTGTGAGGCACTCAGGGTAGTGAGCAAGAGGGGCTAAGGGAGGCTCAGGCCACTGGTGATCTGCTATGGTTGGAGGTCAGTGTTCCTGCGGAGACACTGATGCTTTGGTCTGGAGGTCAGATCTCCTGCTCTACAACCCTGAGAACCACCAGGCTTCAGGTTCTAGAGAGCTCTGAAGGGGTAGATGGCAGGTCTCCTCCAGCACTCTGATTTTCCTCTTCAGCCTCAGGACAGCATGTGGAATAGTCTGGAAATCTGGGCTGCTGAGGCAGAAGTAGCACTGCCCCACTTGAGGTTACCTCCCCGATTCTAGAGCTTCCCTCTTCCCAGATATGGGCACCAGCTGGCATGTCATCTGCTGTGAAACATGGTTTAGACAGCAGTATCAGCTTCTGGCCCATCCAAGCTGCACGCAAGAGCTTTTGTCTTACAGATCTTTCTCCCCAGGGTCCAGCCGTGGCCTCCTGGAGGGAGCTAGAGCTGAGGCCTGTGCCAGCTCCTTGTCAGCTGTGTGGACTTTTCTCCAGCACTGTCTTTATGCAGGTGTCTGGCCAGAAGGCTGCAGCCCCAATACTGGCTCTCAGACTGGCCCAGCATCCTAATCCCCTGCAATGCCGCCTGCCCCTAAGGCTCCTCAAGGAATCTGGCACCAGGAATCTGTAGGGCTGTCCACCTGGGCATGGGAAGCTTGTGAGTAGGGGCTTCACTGTGCCAAATGGGCATGTTTCCTCCTGAGGCTGCTATTGGTCACAGCCAGGGGCTTCCTTTCTGGCAAGTGACAGTGGTCATCATTGCAAATGCAGAATTCCACCTGCCTGTGGGAAACTTCGAGGACTGCCTACTCTTGTGGCCCTCCACCGTCCTGTACACTTGTCTCCCAGGACCCACAGATGGGGGCTGGGTCTGAGGGGTCCTGCGACACGGAAGCTGCTCAGGTAGGCCAAGTCTGCCCTGAGCTGAGAATCACTATTTTGTCCAACTATCACAAATGGAAGCATTGAGATGCCAAGGGTGGTGCACTGAGTGACATACAGTCCTCCTCCTCACAGCCCATTTGTTGGGAGAATGTGAGAAGGCTCCAGCTACCAGCTGCGGCAATGACCAGAAGGCACCTGGGCTGTTAGAGTGGCTCCTTGTTCTCTGGCTGGGACCATCATCTATCAGCCGGGAGCTGGACCCACAGCACTGCTCCGTGCCCTGCGCCCTGCTGGTCTCCAGTCAATGGCTGGGTACCCCAGGGCTTCTCACACATGCGTGTAGTTCATGTAGGTGCTACTGCTGCTTTTAGACACGTCAGAGGTAATGGTCTTTATTCAAAACAGTATTTGAGGCTCTCCTACACACCAGGTTTTCTGATATGTGGAAATGAAAGCTGCGATTGACAAACAGTGAACTTTCTTCAAGTGACATTAGGATTGGAGTTTTTACTGAAAAATAAAAAATTAGTGTTCGCTTTGAATACTGAGTGATATTTTATATTAAACAAAGAAAATATAAGGCTTCGTTTTAAGCAGTATTGGAGACTGAAGGTACTCAAATCTTCAAGCCAGACCTTCCTGGCCACTGGAAGAGCAGCTGGCTCTGGATGACCATCCCAAGGGATGCCTGTCCTACAATACCGGATGAGGAAATGTGTCCCAGGACCCTTAAGTTTGTCACTCACAACAGATTATTTCAATGTAATTTTTTTGATCATGGAGTTAAAATAACTGTACTCATTTTTTTTAATCAAAGAAGTTGGAAAATTACAAGAGTAAGAATTCTAGAGAGCTCTATAAATTGGAACTATGACTTGAAATCTTTGATTTCTTTACAAACAAGAGTTAAAAATAGCTATCAGTAAAGACCTACACTGTGTTCTTTAGTATAGACAGTATAACTATGAGGAACAGTCTTATTTTGAGAAAGTTTATTGTTATATTTCTGCAGTAATAGATGAGGCATGACCACCTCCTGCTTCTCCAATATCCACAATAAAAAAGGAAAGACAATAACCAAGGGTAACAGTGAAATTAAAAAAATACAAAAGCCTAAGGTTTTGGAGACAAAAATGACTAAAATCTATGTGTAGGAAAGTTGTAAATGATTTGTTTAGCCTTCAGACAGGCCTCTTCTTCAACTCTACACCACACAGAGTTCTGGGCGGGGGCGCCCCTAGATGGATGCCCTAGTCCCCCGCATTAGGAAGAGGAGGCTGTGGAGGCTCAGCTAGCTGGGCCTGGGGCCAGAGGCTGGGTTGGCTGAGGACTCGAGCCTGTTGGTGTCCCGCCTGCTCTCTGTTTTGTCAGACAGAAGTCACTCTGTCTCATTATGGCTGTGCTTCCAGGCCTGAAAGTGACGGTACACATGTCAGGCTGCGAGAGGGAAAACTTTCCCAGAGGCTGGCTTGGGAGCACCAGCCACGGTGGCCTCCAACAGAGCCCAGCAGCATGCCCCACATGGGGGAGGAACAGCTTATGCTCTCCTCTGGGTCTCTAGCCTGAGACTCCATGTGAGACACAGCAAACACTTTGGGCCAGGGCAGCTCACTGGAGAGACAGGCCCAT